AGTACCCACCTCTTTTATAGCAACACACTTTTCATTGCAGTCAGTTGATGTGTTCAATTGATAATTCAATATTTTATATTTACCTTCAATGTTACCTTCACTGTCAAAATTGATGATATTTTGGGTAAAGCTTGTAAAATTTGTCCTTTGAATGTAATCTTTGAGATTTTCTCCAGTTAGAGTGTTATAATTGCTATTGTTGCTAATGCAGCTTCTATTTTGCGGGTACCAAACTATTGGAAAGTCACAATTTTTTTTAAAGAAAGCCTCAAAAGCATTGGCAATGGTGTATACTGCGTCAATAGCTAGAGCATCAAGTGAATGTTGTATATAATTTGCACTGTCTGTTATACTTTCAGTACAATTAGTACAGTTCTTGTAAAATAATCGATAGGACTGTTCAAACCAAGGATTGCGCCTGTTACTGCTAGGAGTAAGCTGTGAATAGTATTCATTAAATCCTTCGACATATGGAGAAGAAGGTGCTGTCCCCCACTTACCAATAGTTATGTCATAATACTCATCTACTTCTGACCAACTGTCACTGGCTAACCAAAGGAATCTTCTTTTGTTGTTACTATTCTTGTATACAGTACTAACTGCTGATAAAATTCTCCGAACATCTGTTAGTGAAGCAAATAATACGACAACATTAGCTGTAGAGTTATACAGTTTAGATGCTATGCTGTGGTAATCTGATTTCTCTTCTAAACTCTCACTATAGTCGAAGCAAATTCCTTTCTCTTTAGCTAATTTATGGAATGCATTTATTGCTGGTTGACCGTATCTGTTACTCGAGTAGAGTGTTGATACATGATCCCATTTTAAATGAAGTATCAAGTCTATCATTGCCTGGACTTGATAATCATCTCCTGGTATAGTACGAAAGAAATATGGATAGGACTCACGACTATTAAGTAATGGAGAAGTAGACGAGAAGCTTATTTGAGGCATTTTGAAAAGGCGGAAGAGACTAGCAACTGATATGGTGACAGGACTAATGATTGCTCCAATAACTGCTGACACTGGTGTCTCTGTTAATGACGTATCATTATCAAACTCAGCACTGCAGCTCTCTATCTCAATCTGTCCATTTGAGTAGATGATATCAATGGCTTCATCTAAGCCTACATTTTCACTGCCACAAGTATCTCTTATATCATACCCCAGTGTTAAGTTAGGTAGGATATTGGGATCAGAGTTAATGACATCAATGGCATATAGCAGTGCTTCCAAGTCCTCTACGTTATGGTGCTGTAGAATTGTCTCTAGGCACTTTCCATTTTCGCTTTCATGTACTTGGGCTAGTCCTCCTATCACTATGTCCTTTCCCATTCGACTCTTCATTCCACTTATTCTTCCATCCAGTGCCATGAGTAAGTCAGATTCTTCATTGTAGCTGTACTCTGGATTGACATTAGAGATAGAGATTATAAGCACATACAAAGCAATGAATTTCATTTTTTCTTCTGTAGTAAATAACTACACTGCTCATATCGCTATAATCATAGATCAATTTATATCACTAGATAAAGGTTGCAACATGTCCATCACACCATATCATCTTTTCTCCTACACAGTTATTCTTAAGAGTTATCTTATACCTAAGTCTATATTTATTTTACTGTTAGCTAAATCTTCTGTCTCTGTCAACACTTCACTAATGCATTTTTAGCACAACCAATGTACTGAGTTCTCATGAATCACATTCATAAGACTATAGCTGTTGTGTTGTTTAAGGCAGTTGGATCAGTTTTAACTACATCCAATATAAACAAATAACAATAAACAACAAAACTGAAAATACCCTTTGTAGTTTTGTACAACTTTGAATTGATATAGTCTTAGTCTCTAAGTATATAATAATAACAATAACAATGCACATTGTACCCATGTATGTACATGTTATCCCTGTTTTTGACTTTGGTACTCTGAAGTAGTGAACCCTATCCTTTTATCATTGTAGGTTTTATGCCACTTTCAGAAGAGTTGGAATATCGTAATGAACACTTTAGGACTTATGATTCTTAAATATAGCAAAAACTGCATTTAGATAATCTTCTAATACAAAATGATATAGTAACTTGAAATTTAAGCTAAGTGGCTTATTATGAGTTTATAGCTGATGTTGCATGGTGGAGTTTCAAATGATAATGCAATAAAGGAAATTAAAATATAGGCAAGCGAATTGATATTGCAAAATAAACAGAGTATTAATCCTAATTGTTGTTTGCTAGTAAGTGCAATTTCTTGATATATAGTCATTACCATTGTACGAATAATCTAAAGTATTGCCTACCAAAACAACAACAACAACAACAACAACAACAACAATAATAATAATAGATAGATATTTTAGCCATGACAGAATTTCAAATAATAATGCAAGGAAATTGAAATATAGATAAACGAGTTGATATTACAAAATAAACAGAATATATGTGGTCTGGCCTAGTAAAACCAACCTTAACTCTATAGACTTATGGTTAGTTTTCCCAGACCACACCACCCATATAGAAAAAACAAGGTTGCAGCATGGTTGTGGCAACCTTGTAACAAGCTAAGTGGTCACAAGGTGGTCCCTACCTGGCCACAAGGCCCACCACCTTGTAAAAACCCTGGAATTGACACGTTTTCCACCTTGTGACAACCACGTGACAACCTTGTCATAATGTACAATAAATTCAATAGCTATAATCTGGAAGCCTATCAATTAACACATAATTAATATTGTCATCCTAATCCTATATAGTTTGAATTGATTTCTAGATACTTCATGTATATGATAATGTAATATGTAGCTTGTGTGTAAAGATATGGATATGTATTAATCTTATCTTTATTGACTTGTACAAGGGCTGGTCAATGGTTCCCTTATATATGGTAGCAATAGCTTCATATCATCGTGGGCCGCACTTAATGAAACCTCAGTTTCCTGTCAACCTTCAGACAACCTTGTCACAAGGTTGTTATATTTGTAACACGTTAGTCACAACTTCAGCACTTTTATACAAGGTTGTTACTAGGTTGCTACAACCTTGTAAGGTTGTGAACTGGTTGTAACAAGCTTGTGACAAGCTTGAAATTTTTATATGGGGCAGTGACACCACATAGTCTATGTATATCCTGATTGATATTTGCTAGTAGGTGCAATTTCTTAAGATACGCTGGAGTAAACTTCATCAAGTAACAAATTACTTTGAGCAGCCACTATAAAAATATTTATCAGGCAATTGAACCTTCATAGTCACTACTGCATAGTCTCCATTTCTTCTAGGAAGAACATGAAAGCCATCATTATTTGTGTGCTTGTAACTCTGGTCTCTATCTCCAATGCTAAACCACAGTACAACTACAATGAAGAATCTGAGTTACTCATGACACTGGATGGAAGGATAAGTGGAATGAAGAGTCGAATGGGAAAAGACATAGTGATAGGAGGACTAGCCTATGTACATGAAAGCGCCAATGGAAAGTGTTTGGAGACAATTCTACAGCACAATCATGTAGAGAGTTTGGAAGCACTCCTATATGCCATTGATGTCATTAACTCTGATCCCAATATCCTACCTAACTTAACACTAGGGTATGATATAAGAGACACCTGTGGCAGTGAAAATGTAGGCTTAGATGAAGCCATTGATATTATCTACTCAAATGGTCAGATTGAGATAGAGAGCTGCAGTGCTGAGTTTGATAATGATACACAGACACCAGTGTCAGCAGTTATTGGAGCAATCAATAGTCCTGTCACTATATCAGTTGCTGGTCTCTTCAGGTACTTCAAAATACCTCAAGTGAGTTTTTCGTCTACATCAACACTGCTTAATAATCGTGAGTCCTATCCATATTTCTTTCGTACCATACCAGGAGACAATCATCAAGTCCAGGCAATGATAGACTTGATACTTCATTTCAAATGGGATCATGTATCAACACTCTACTCTAGCAACAGATACGGTCAACCAGCAATAAATGCATTCCACAAATTAGCTAACGAGAAAGGAATTTGCTTAGACATTAGTGAGAGTTTAGAAGAGAAATCAGATTATGACAGCATAGCATCTAAACTGTATAACTCTACAGCTAATGTTGTTGTATTATTT